TATATATATATATATATATATATATATATATATATATACCATTTCAGTGTTATTTTGAAGTTCGTAGCGTGAACCTGCATCCGTCGACGTTGCAATGTTTAGAGGACTGTGCTGCTGTTTAGAGACATCACCTCGTTTTGTCACAAGCTGTGACTCGGATCGTGCCTTTTTGTTAACATTGAAGGAGGCTATCCTTGGAGTAGTTGTTTTATCGTGCGTTTGTCGAAGTTATGGTCGCAGGAGGTCGCCGTTTTTACTCTGCATCCCGAACGAGTGGAAAGACGGCTCGGTGAGTGTTGACATTGGATTGTACTGTCATAGGTGTACACTAGTTGTATGCAGTTTTCGGAACAAATCAACGCGACACGGGAATTTCGAGAGTCAAGACACATTGCAGTGGAATAAGGTGTTATAACTGGCATTTCGGTTGCCGGGCAACCTTTCCCAGCGATTCCTACAATCAAGCGATATGATCACTGAATGGTCATCCGTGTCACGTGCAAGTGTTATCAGCAGGTCAGCTTTCATATCAATTTCACGGAAACTGCTATTTATTCATGATTTGTTAATGGAGCGACCCACTCAACAGACTGTATTGCTGTTCGTGTTATTCATCAAATGAATTGGCACGTTGAATGAGACCACACAGTGTCGCCGTTAACTTTTTATTTCCCTATCATCATCCGTTACGTTTAAGTTTTGGAGTGTCGGTTTATATAACTGTTGTTTCATGTCTCTACAGGTTGTGATAAATCTAATTACTCTACGTCAGAGTTATTCGCCCTCAGGTTTCGGGTTTCTCAGTCTCGGAAAACTCCCCGTTTGTTTCTTCACGTTAGCATTGAGAACCTGTCAGGCTCACACTTTGACTGCTATCTTTTTCACTCAAGCTCCTGTTTCCTTTTAGGCCAGCTTCGCTATTGGATCGGGCCGAAAGGCGGTTTTGTGTGTGGAATCACTTGGGGATCGAATTCGTTTGAGGGATTTTGTAGACCCTCCAATCGAATCCTGGAATTCCCAACCAAGTGCGCGATATCGGACGAAGCGTAATTTGTCATCTGATAAACGGAAGCTGGATGGCTTGATGTTGCACCTTTCTCATCGTAATGTTCAACCCAGTCTGCCACCATCACCTTTAACGGAGGTGCATTGTGTTTCCGGTGGCTCAGAATCTTCTGAGCATACGGGAAGCGCCGGCAGTAGAGTTAGCTCATCTACCAATAGCTCCCCCTTGGCGAAATTAGATAATACCCTACCGTGGGCGTCTTCGTCCGATTCTGGTGTGAGTTCGAATCCTAGTCAATCGTCGAGTCCAGACCCGGCCTCACTGTCAGTCCTCGATTCCCTGTCAATCAGGACTCCAAGTCCTTGCCTGGATACGGATTCACACGCATTAACCAACAGAACAGGGTCTAACTTCTTGCTGGTTTCCCAATCAGCGATAAATGACTACAATCGTGGACGTCGTTACTTGCAGTCAGTCTGTGATGAATATCATCTTCCGACCACAAGCAACTTGAAGGACGCGATCGACAAGTGCTTCTCTATACTGTATCCCAATTCAGTCGATGAAATCCCGGCCATTTGAGATTTGTACTATTGAAACACCTATTCTTGTTAGGTTGAGACACTGTGATAATACGATGCGGTGTTTCGTGGAATCTTGTTCGTTCTCTTTCCGGACCTCGGTTTGACTCACCAGTCCTTAGACTCCACTGTCTTCATCCGTTGTGGCCAGTTTCCTCGTGGTCGCACTATTTGCGATTCACTTCATATATACATACACATTCATACATATGCTTAACACTTACTGTCCTCTTGTACGCTTCTTAATCAGTTTCTTTCGATAAACGTTTTTTATACTTTTAGCAATGGGTATTTTGGTTTCTTATCGGCTAGGTTCCGAATACTTCATGTGGTTGAGGAAAGTGTTAATGTTGTGCATAATAATGCCTGAGTAGTTGGCCGCGATTCACGAAACTTTTAGCAGACGCGACAAACTCAGCAGTTGTTTACCAATTTACACTCACGTAGGACTTGGTGACTATGTTCAGTCAGTTGGCTTAGTCAATCTTTCGACACCACAAATTAACCTACAGATGGTTGCATACTCCCTATAGAAACGTCTTCCTAACATAACATGCTTGCGATATAAATCTGTAAACGGAAGTATTTTCAGACTACCAGACGAACTTCGTTTGATCCATACCAAGCTGTTTTCGAAAAACAGTATTGGTCTTGCTGGTTGTTATGTAGTACTTGTCTGGTAAGGTGACTTTCTGTCGAAGGCTTCGCAGATAATAGCTCGGATTGACCTCAGGCGTACGTGCAGAATCCCGGGTTCGACCCTCAAAACAAATCACGGGAATGGAGAAGGGGCTTTCAGTTCGATATTCAACATGCATGATATTACTACCTTTCCCTTGTGAATAACTGTTTGGTTCGACCGAATTTCAGACTCCTCCAGTGTATGTACTGTCCCAACCGCATGTTGCAGCAAATAAAATTTTAGTGCGCTTGTTTTTCTCCCTACTGACAGTTAAAGTAGTACATTTTTCTGTTGGACTGATGCGCGGTCACTGGGCCTAGAGTAGAACTGCGACCACGTCTTCTTAACTCATCGTGTCTCTCGGCAGACATGTTACGAATACTCTATTGTGAGCCCGGATAAACATTATACTATTTCAACATCAGCTACAGGACCAGTAATTTCAATAGGAGGTAAACTAATCACGCTGCTGAGAGGTGTTTTCCACTTCCTGGTTTTCACTAAGAAATGATCCAGTAGCATCAGACTCACACATTTACTCTACGTCTAAACTAGGTGATATGTACATCAGTACAGATTGTCCTCTGACCAACGACGGAACAAGTTGATGGTGGTGCCAATCAATCTAACGGCAAGAATCCGGACAAATAGAAAGATATAAGGGTAGAAGGGTTCCAGGTACCGTCGATGAGTCAATGGCCTTAGCAAACAGAACACAGCTATCCCGTGTAGTCGTACGTCATTTGAATTTTATGGGGCTACGCGTGACCAACATATATGGTCGTTAACTGATACCAAGCTTCATCTAGTGAGTGTCCGGACGTACAAGCAGTCAATTGACCAACCAGCAACCTTGAAATAGTAAGTTCGACTTTTGGTTATACCAAGTATGCGTGAATACCGACGTAGACTTTAGATGCCTTTAGAGAACCTTTAAAAAATTTGCTTAGTGCTGGAAGGCTCCTCAGCAAGATATGCGGCTGTACGACTCCGGGAAAGCCTTTTGGACTCAAGCAACCAATATCATGTTCAGTGTGTCGTTATCAATTTGAAGTGACCTTGCGACGAGAAATCTTCTAAACGCATAAAGTGAGCAACGATCGATCAGACTGTACGGATTGGAGCTCTACGACCTTGTACGGCCACTTCCTCCTACCTGATGTTCACAAGAAAAAGTAGCTGTAAGTTTCCTGATATAGGAGTCGAACGTGTTCTTCCTGTTGTTTCACCAAATAAATCGATTTTCAAGCCGTTGAAGTCTTACATTCTGAACCCGGCTTCCGTGAGCTTAATTCTTTATTCGTCGCGCCATGGCCAGAAGAGCTGTTGGGGTCGGAGTTGTTGTCATCCCTCCCATTGGCGATTCCATAAGATAGGACTTACTGACCACTTAATTCTGTCTCATATACATCCTAGTCAGTCAGTTTCGTGCGTTCTGAACACGGATAGTCTTGGGACGTCTGTTTAACTCGTCTGACTCTCAAATACATAGGGAATTGCTCCATATTCGAGATACTAGTTATGTGGCTATTTACTGCCTTGAAAAACTCTTGCTGCGCACCACCACTCCCAGGTTCTTCTGGCATAGCAATCACAGAAACTGGCTAGGAGATGGTCGAGAAATATTTCGCATGGGTCGCTTATCGGGTATCTGTTTAAACAGGTGAATTATTATCCACCATCGTGCAGTCGACGCATGTGAACTGTAATTCTGGCCGCATCGAGGTTAGCGATCTTGAGGGGCCCTGGTCGATCACTGACTTAATTCTTGAGCCCCGCGCTTGTCAAATGTAGATCTGGGACAGTAATTGGTTTGGATAATAGAGCTGCAGTTTCTCAGAATACAACACGATTCTTGAGTTCCGTGCCTATAAAACTGATTGTTCCCAAAAATTTTCATAGCGTATTTGCTTTTAAACACTGAAACTTTGCTCTTGGGTGATGGATGCTGAAGGTCTGAATGTTCAGGGTTGAGTGAGTGTGCGGAAAAGTAAGGAAGACTACTGACTTTAGTAACGCCTGCACGCCGTAGTAGAATGGAACTTGGCTGTTCGTTCTGAACAAGGATTTTTGTAATGCATGAGTTTACTGACTGGAAACTACTCATCAACTCATTGACTTGGATGAGGTTAGATTGTCTCTCTACCCATGTATTTATCTTCGTAGCTGCGGCTTATGAGAACTGTGGTCCGTTATTCTGCGCTGTTAACTTCCCCTTTTTGATACAATCTACGGTGCAGATTCTGACTCTGTTGGACAAGTTCCACTCCAAAGTGAATCCCATCGGCTTTTAGAACACAAAATTGTGCTCAAACGAATCCTTCTCACTAAGCTCACAGATTTGTCAATGCATTTGTGAAACCGGTAAACATATTACACTTAGATGGGTACGTATGATTAGGCCAATAGACAGAATGGAGAAAACCTACTAACTTTCATATTGGATATTTGCATTACTTTGTGTGGGCTGCAGCCATGGCAACTGCGATGCGTGTGCACACTCCTTTTCCAATGACTTTATCCTTGTGATTTGTGGGCTGGGACATTATGTGACTGAATGCTGTATCAGCGTAGTGACCGATGTGTGCAAAGGTAGAGCAATACCAATTTCCGTCGTAAGTTCACAGAAGTGGTGTTATCAGTTCTATCCGGAATGAGAATGCCAAATATAAGCGGATTGCTTTTAAAGGTTTCCTTTGCGTTCGACTAAGATAGTCTAGTCCACAGGACTAAGAGTAAGTGTCAAACCACTGGGTTGGTCTGCATTGGCAGTTTATCTGTGATCCCGAAAACGGGGACGGATGTAGAGTAATCTATTTCAATACGTTTCATTCCATGACAGAAAGAGATGATGATGTGTAACTCATTTCCATACGTGGTACTCCAATGATGCCCATTCGATATACTTTACAGTAGTGTATATCAGCAAGATACGTAGACTGGACAGTAATCCTGATGTCATAGTTCGTATCGATGTATGCGAAACACGACCTAATCCGTAAACTCGTCTAGAGAAATCGGAAAATCTATTCTCTCCGTATTCTGCAGAAGGATTTATACATGATATAGCCAGAACGAATATACAGATAATCGCTGATTAATTTTGATAAGAAAGTGCTACCTATCAATCTACAAAGCAACAACACACGACCGGCCGAAATATTAACCCACCTGGTGACATGGACTGAAGTAACCCAGGACAGGCTTTCATCAGCTGCCAGATCAGATCAGGGATTCAGGCAAGCTCAACGGTCCAACGATTTCTGTTCCCGTGGACTGGAACATTTTAGTTGAACCTAGGAGCGACCGTCAAAAAGAATTTGAGAATTCTCTCGAATTTTCGATCCGAATAGCTTGTGATCCGGAGAAAAGACGGATCACTTTCCGTATTTCATTTTATGCAACCTGTTATACTCGTTTTGGATGATCGCGTTAGATACTCCCACCAATATGACCGTTGTCCCTACCTAATGTACTGATCGCTTTTCATATATTCTGGTAAAATCGGTCTTCAATATTTACAAGAATATCCTGTGCAACACGCCTGTGGTAGCAGTCAGGTATTTCTATCCTCTTTTAGCTCCTCAGACACAAAACCTCTGTCAGCATACGCCTGCAAGGAGATACCGTTTTTTTCGGTTCATCTGATGATCCGTGACGGACACAAAACTCTAAATATGCCTACCTCGTCATATTACCTTGATATAAAAGATTGCTCTGAAACTTGAGACCATTCATTCTGCAGTCGGTCGTCGTAGTCTGTTTTCAAATTGGGACGGCCTGTCATTTCTTTTAGAAATGCAGATATGGGTTAAACAGTGGGCCACTCAGCAGTGCAGTCTCCTTTGGAGTTGAGTTCTTGGCCTTGTGAGATGCTGTTTTTTGCCAATTTTCCGTTTCAGCAAGTTGACTGTGTGATCCACGTCAAATTTGAAATGGCCTTAAGTGCGGACTTTTTCATATTTACAAACTCTATGTATTTTACTCAGTCTCGAGGCCCATAATGGCCCAGTCGTCGGTCTGGAAGCCTTTGGGATGGCATGAGTGGCTTGCCATTATACAGAGTTTGAGAGGGACTGCTTCGTCAATGAGAGAACGCCCTGCCTCCGTGCTTCTGTTTTGAGGATTACATTTATGTTGCTGGCACCTGTACAAGAGGCAGTATTGCCTGTGAAGACTCAGAATCTCCCGTTTTGTATTAGACACGTTTCAGGTCATCAGACATTGACGAGGTCTTCACAAGCAACTCACAAAACATTCGACTGGAGCATGTGAACTTCTTGGACTTAAAGGCATTGATAATTGTAGGGTCATCTTGTTTTGGGAAGCGAGAAAACGGGACAAGATGTGAAGTGGACGGATGAAATGAATTGGACCTACTGCGAACCTACCTCATGTATTCTGATCCCCCTTTGTCGGTGAATGAATAGTAAGTGACAATAAGCTTGTTACTGAGGTCGATTAGTGACCTCCCCCGTCAAGTTTGGGTAATAGTCGAATAGATCTCTGTGGATGGTAGGTCGCAACCCATTGTTCCCTCATTCTTGCGTCCACCACTTGCTCACTACTTCGTTGGTGACACTCCGAAATAGGTGAG